GGGGGGGGGGGGCATCTTGGTCCTCTGGGGCTGTGCTAACAGAATACCATAGACTGGGGGCTTACGAACAACACAGATTTATTTCTCACACTTCTGGAGGCTGGGAAGTCCAAAATCAAGGGGTGATGGCAGATTTAGTGTCCGGTGGGGGCCCGCCTCCCGGGTCACAGACGGCTGGCTTCTCGCTGTGTCTTCATGTGGTGAAGGGGCAAGGGGGCTCTCTGGGGTCTCTTTCCTAAGGACACCAGTCCCATTCATGAGCGCGCCACCCTCACGACCTGATGACCCCCCAAAGGCCCCACCTCCTAACACCATCACATGGGGGTTAGGGTTTCAGCATATGAATTTGGGGGGGACTCAGTCTGAAGAGGCATCTTTATTTATTTAGAGAACATCATCATAGAGCCAGCCTCCAAGACAGCCCCCACTGTCACCCCCCGGTCTTCATGCCCCGTGTCCCGTCCCTCATCGAATAGGACTGACCTGTGAAAACAGAATAAGGCGGAAACGGTGAGGGTGACTTCTGAGGCGAGGCTATAAAAGAAATTGTGACCTCTTGGCTCACTTGCTCTGGTGGAGCTGGCGGCCATGTTGGGAGGATGCTCAGGCAATGCTGTGGAGAGGCCCACGTGGTGACGGGCTGGGGCCGCCTGCCAACAGCCACGTCTGTAAGCTTGGAAGTGGCTATTCCAGGCCCACTCAAGTTTCCAAATGACTGCAGGCCTGGTGAGAGACCCTGAGCCGGACTCACGCAGCTAAGCCACTCCCAAATCCCTGACCCATGAAACGCGTGAGTGATTATAAATGGCTACTGTCTTGAGCCACTAAGTTTTAGGATAACTTGTTACACAGCAGTAAATAACGAACACTACTTAGCACTTACTCTGCAAAACCCTGTTCTGAGCGCCAAATATATTTGAACTCATTAATCCTCAAGGCAACTCTCTGATGTACAGATTGTGCTTGTTCCCGTTTTATGAATGAGGAAACTAAGGCACAGAGAGGTGCAGTAACTTGCCCAAAGTCACACAGCTTGCAAATGGTGAAATTCGGGTTTGAACCCAGCCTGTCCAGCTCCAGGGTCTGGGTGTTCAACCACTGGGCCACACTGGCTTTGGCCAGCTGTGGGTGGCCCTCGAAGAAGGTGAAATCTCCAAGAAGCCCAAGAAAGCCTCAAAGAGCCCCAATATGGAAGGGGAGAAAAAAGGAAGAACAGACTCAGAGGGTGGGGAGGGGAGGGAGGAGAGAGCAGAGAATGTGAGTCTAGAATGTGGAGTGGGGCCTCTCTCTCTCTGCGCCCAGCTTTGCCACTCACTAGCTATGTTCCCTCAGGCAAATTACTTAACCCTCTATGCCTCAGTTTCTCCATCTGCACAATGAGGAAGGTTGTGGTGGATTAAATGGGTTAATCCATGGGTTAATCCAAGGCTGGCAAAGGCCCTGGGGGAGCTGGATCCCGCCTCGGCTCCCGGGGGAGGCTTGCTGAGACCTGCTCTTCTGGGGGAGTGCCGAGGCACAGGGTAATGAGCAGGTGGGGCTGCGGCACAGACGGTGGGCTGAGCTCAGCGTCTGGCTGTGTGGACATGGCCGGCCCAGGGTTTCGGGGCCACCCCACAGGACCTCTCCTGCTGCTGCTGCTCTTGCCCCAGGCGCTGACGGAGGGACCCCTGGTGTTTGTGGCTGTGGTGAGGTTCCCACCCCCACCCCCCAGCCTGGCCTCTCACCTCCCCCAGGCCAGCCCTGACCCGGTCCTCTCCCCAGGTGTTCCGCCATGGCGACCGGGCCCCGCTGGTGTCCTACCCCACCGACCCACACAAGGGGGCCATCTCCACCCTGTGGCCGCGAGGCCTGGGCCAGCTGACCACGGTGAGAAGCTGGGGTGGGGTGAGAGGCGGGGCGGGGTGGGGAGGGGTCAGCTGAGCCTGCTCTGTCCCCAGGAGGGGGTCCGCCAGCAGCTGGAGCTGGGCCGCTTCCTGAGGAGCCGCTACGAGAACTTTCTGAGCCCTGAGTACCGGCGGGAGGAGGTACTGCCGTGTTGACTCTCACCCGGCCCCCTGACCTCCCACCTCTGACCTCCACTGACTCCAACGCTCCCCTGGGGCCTCCACCTCTGGCCTTTGACCCCCATCAACCTGCCCTGCACCCTATGTCTGATCTTTGACCTCCAAACCATCAACCCCATCTCTGCCCCCATCTCAACCTGAGTCACATCTTGACCTCTGACCTCTGACCTCTGTCAGCTCTGACTTTATTTTCTGGCCTCCATCTCTGGCTTCTGACTCCCAGTGACTCCGGCCAGACTGTCTGACCTCTGATCTTTGACTCCAAAACTTGATTGATTCTGTCTTTGCCCCTCATTGATTCAACTTGCCCTCCTGACCTCTGACTTTTGACCTCTACCCTTCATCAAATCTGACTTTCCTCTCCTATCTCTTCCTCTGTCTTCTGGCTTCCTCCAATTAGGATCTTTTCTCCTAGCCTCTGACCTCTGATCCCTGATAGACAGGTACTGAACTCTGACCCCATGACCCCCAACCTGCCCTCCTCATCTTGACCTCTAACCTCCAGCCTCCAGTGATTCTGATCTTCCTGACTTCCATCGGCCCAGCTGACCCCCTTAATCTTACATGTCCGCCCAACTTCTGGCTTCCAACCCAACTGCTCTCGACACTGACCTCTGACCCTTGATCCCAACATCTAACACTGAGGTCCAGACACTTGAGCCCGCCCTAAATTTTGACTCCCAGCACCTGACTTTCGACCCAGAACTGAATCTGAAGCTTTTGGTTTGCCGCTGTAGCTGACCTCTGACCCCGACCCTGGTCCCCTTGCCTGCCCTCTCCCCACCCCAGGTGTACATTCGCAGCACCGACTTTGACCGGACGCTGGAGAGCGCTCAGGCCAACCTCGCAGGGCTGTTCCCCGAGGCTGCCCCAGGGCGCCCAGAGTCCGCCTGGAGGCCCATCCCTGTGCACACGGTGCCCACCTCTGAGGACAAGGTTGGGGGGCTGGACAGGGCCAGAGAGGGGGAGGGATGGAGAGAGACAGAGACCCCGAGATGGAGAGAGCCAGGAGCTGGGAGAGGCAGCTCTGCGCCTGGCTGGGCGGCTCCCGGGGGCCTGAGCTGCTCTGAGCCCCAGACCTTCCCTGGGGCGGAGCTGTCCAGATGGGCTGAGCCACTGTCCCCGCGCTGCACGGCCAGATCTGGGAGAGACCATGGACCACAGGCCAGGGCCCCGCAGACCGGACTCCCCGCGCCACCCATCCTCCCCACCCCCCTCCCCTGGCAGTGAGACCCCAGTCACGCTGCCGTCCTCTCTGAGCCTCAGTTTCCCCCAGCTCCTGAGGTTCCCCATGCGCAGCTGTCCCCGATACCACGAGCTGCTGCGGGAGGCCACGGAGGCTGCCGAGTACCAGATGGCCCTGGAGGGCTGGACGGTGAGAGAGACCTGCGGGGCGGGGCCGGTGGGTGGGGGCGGGGCCTTGCAGAGGGGCGGGGCCAGCGGGCGAGGCTGTGGAGAGGGGTGGGGCCTGCAGGGCGAGGCCAGCGGAGCGGGGCGGGGCCGGTGGGGCGTGGCGTTACCTGCGTGCAGGGACGGGGCGTGGCCTGCGGGACGGGGCGTGGCCTGCGGGACGGGGCGCGGAGGTCTGCCACGCTCACCCCGCCCGGCGCCTCCAGGACTTCTTGACTCGCCTGGAGAACTTCACCGGGCTGTCGCTGGTCGGGGAGCCGCTCCGCAGGGCGTGGAAGGTTCTGGACACGCTAATATGCCAGGTGAGCCTCCGGCCCACCCACGCAGCCAAGTGGTTAAGTGCAGCTGGGTTCAAATCCCAGCCTTGCAGCTAGCTCACTCTCTGCGTTCCCTCAGGCAAGCCACTTAACCCTTAGTGCCTCAGTTTACCCATCTGCACAATGGGGATGGCGACACCCGTATCAACACCCCCTGGGGTTGCTGTGATCAGAATGGGTTATTCGCGCCATGCGCTCGGAACAGCGCCTGGCACACAGTGAGGGGCGCACGGGGGTTTGAAGCTGCGGGTTTGCAATCCTTCCCCCGCAGTCCGTTATCGGAAAAGCTTCCAAAACCAAAACTTGGGCAGCAGGCGTTGACCTGAAACGGGGCGATGCGCTTCATAGTCTTTGCTTACCCCACTTCATGGGGATGTTCCTAAATGCACTGGGCGAATAGCAATGGGTATGATTAAGGGGGCTGCCCCAGATCCCATGGGATGTGTTCCAAGGCACATGGTATTAGCACCATAGACCTTTCTAAAATCCAAAATGTCTGAATTCTGAAACCCCTCTGGCCCCGAGGGTTTCAGATAAGGGTTTCTGGTCTGTGGAATGGTCATTACTATCGTTAATTAATAATTGCTATTGCCCACCCCATAACTTCCTGGCCAGACCCAGCCCATGAGGGGTTCAGATGAGGGGTGGGAGCGAGGACGGCAGTTAATGGGGACAGCACTGGCCTTGGGAGGGCCTGGGGGGAGCAGGAAGAGCTCAGGACATCCTGGTCACTTTGTCCTCTCCCCCGTCTCTCCCCAGCGAGCTCACGGCCTTCCTCTCCCCTCCTGGGCCTCCCCGGATGTCCTGCAGACTCTAGCCCGGATCTCAGCTTTGGATATTGGGGCCCACGTGGGCCCACCCCGGGCAGCAGAGAAGGCCCAGCTGACAGGGGGTGAGGTGTGGGGCTGGGAGGCCCGGAGGCTGAGGTGCCTCCCCGGTGGGGGGGGGGGGGAGCGTGTCTCAGCATTCTGTTCTTGCCCTCTCAGGGATCCTGCTAGATGCCATCCTTGCCAACTTTTCTCGGGTCCAGCGCCTGGGGCTGCCCCTCAAGATGGTTATGTACTCAGCTGTGAGTCTTTGGGAAGGGAGGTAGTGCCACGTGGGCACAGGGATGAGGGGGGATGGCGATTTGGGTGAGGAAGAGCCGGTGGTCTCAGTGGAACCTCAGCCTACTGCCTTGGGCAACTCCTATCTCCAAACCATACTCTCGGACCATATCACTAGAGGAATATAGTTTGCAAGGAGGGAGGTCATAGTGTTATGAAAGAATTTAGTTCTGGAAAGACGAAAGCTGTTTGATTGAGGTGTCCAATCATATTTTGCATCTATGTGACCATCCTTTATTAAATGATTAGCTGTAACTGGTGGTACTGCCTCCAGGGTGAGCAGATTTAGGGGAGTTGGTTCTAAGAGGTCTGGGGGACATCTGGATGCACAAGTCTGGAGTTCAGGAGAGGGGAGACATCAGGAGAGGAGGCGTGTCTCAGCTCTGGGATCCGTCTGCAGCACGACAGCACTCTGCTGGCCCTCCAGGGGGCCCTGGGTCTCTACGACGGGCACACCCCACCATATGCTGCCTGCCTCGGCTTCGAGTTCCGGAGACGCCTGGGGGACCCGGATGAGGACTCAGGGTGAGGCAGGGCGTGGCAGCCGGGAATGGGTGGGACAGAACTCTCGAGAGAAGGGATGGGTGCCAGGCGGGGGCCTGGAGGGGGAATGTGGCTGGGTTGGCATCAGCAGATTGACAGGTAGGAGTCAGGAGCCCAGTTTCTCCATTGAGTTGCCCTTCTCGACTGAAGGTCAGGGGTAGGGAAGGTGAGGGCCTACATGCCACCCTCTCCTCTCTCCCTCCAGGAATGTCACCATCTCCCTCTTCTACCGCAATGACTCTGCTGGCCTGCCCCTGCCCCTCAGCGTCCCCGGGTGCCCAGCCCCCTGCCCACTGGGCCGCTTCCGCAAGCTGACCGCCCCCGCCCGGCCTCCGGCACACGGGGTCCCCTGCCACGGCTCCCACCAGCTTGCCACCCCCACAGGTGACAGCCCTCGGTGCTGGGGTGGGAGTGGGGGGGGCAAGTCTCGAGATTCACATCCCCGTGTTCTCCCTGCAGCCACTGTGGTGCCCCTGCTGGCTGGGGCTGTGGCTGTGCTGGCGGCACTCAGTATGGGGCTGGGCCTGCTGGCCTGGAGGCCCAGCTGCCTGCGGGCCTGGGGGGGCCCCGTGTGAGCCGGGAAACTGGGCACCACCTCCCCACAGCTGACACTGGACCCCAACATGTATGCTCACTTGCTGCTCTGGTTCCTGTGACTTACTGCGTGTGCCTGTGTGCGTGGGGAAGGCGGGGGCGGGGGCGGGGGCCGCAGCGGAAAGGGCTCCCTAGCCTGGAAACAAGTGGTTCTTTGTGTGTTCAAGCGTGCATGCATGTATGTGCGTGTGCAAGGGCGTGATGGGCTGTTGCTGTGCACACATGCATGAGGCATGTGTGTATACACGTGGTATGTGTGGACATTTCTGCACTTGTGTGCAGTATCTGCATATACGTGTTGGTGTATGCACACACGTCTACATGTGACATTTCTGCACACACGAATACGTGGTACGTGTGCAGTGTCTGCATGTGTGCATTTGGGAACATAAGTGTACCTGCATGTGTGGGTAATATGTGTACAGGCGTTTACGTGCAAGTTTCTAGACATGCACAGGAACACGTGGTACACGTGGGAACCTTCCTCTGCAGGTTAGGCACGTGTGTTGTTCATGCCTGTGGGTGTGTGCTGTGCAGCAAAGCCACGCCTACTGGGTGAGCCTCTCTGCGGGTCACTCGCTCTGGTGCCCACCTTGTAGAGGGGAGGGCTCAGAAGGCACAGGGCTCAAAGCCTGGCCCCACAGCCAGCCAGCTGGGACCAATCCTGAGGCTGTGTGACTCTGGGCAAGTGATTGGCTGCTCTGTGCCCCCATCTCATTTGGCAGAGACAAGATTCACCCATCAGGCTCCAAGAGCCCTGAAATTAACCTCCCGGGGTCCAGAGCAGGTGGGGCTGGTGACCTTCCCTCAGGGCTGCCCAGCAGAGCCCATGCTGAATGATCTAGAGGGGCTGGTACCCCAACAGGGCACTGTCCAGTACGGCAGCCACTTAAATTTAAATTACATAAACCAAATGTAAAATCTGGGCCCAGTCGCACCAGCCACACTGGGCAGTGCAGACAGGAAGTTTCCATCCCCACAGACGTTCTACGGGCCAGCACTGAAGATAAGCCACCACACACCTGACCATAAACCAGCAGCCTGGGCACTGGTGCCCCTGCATTCAGCCCCTCGACCCACGAGGAGGCGCTCCACACCCCCCCATCACACACTAGGCGCCACGCAGCAGAGGCTGCCAGCTGCCTCCTCCGGGTGTGGCCCGGGCCGGGGCACCAGCCCCCCTCGGGGGCCTTGCCCCCCATGTGTGGCATAACGGCTGTGCCTGCATCATTGGGCAAATGTGTCAACACCCCACTGGACTATCGCTGGAGAGCCTGGCGTGCAGTGGGCGCTAAGTCACTTGGTGGTAGTTGGAGGCTCGGGCAGCTTGTGGCCAGAAGAGCTAGTCCCAGCCTCCAAGGTCCCCAAACCTTACCCTGGGGGAAACAGGGTGCAGGGGCCCCTGGACTGTGGGAGGGAAGGGGCTGGAGGGAGGACTGGAGCCAGCAGCCGTCCTCACAGCCAGAAAGGCTGGGACATCACTCTTGTGTTGGGGCCACCAGCACAGCCTCCCCATAGGCCCACCCACTTCACGGCATTGGGCAGGGAGTCCTGCCCTGGACCCCCCAGGTAGCCTCGTCAGGAGCCCCCATCACTCCCCCGCACCCTGCCCATCATCGCCCCTGGAGGTGCGGGGTGGTCTCGCCCCGGGGAAGGCCTCGGAAGAGCCTCTGCCACTTCTTGGTCCGGGGAAGAGGCCCAGCTTCTTGCTTGGAGATCCAGGAAGACCCCAAGTTCTAGCAAGTTCCCTCACCCTGCCTCTGCAGGGCAGCTCCCATGGGCGCGAAGGAGCCCAGCCTTCTCCTCAGCAGACTGCTGCGACGGCCTATGGAGAGATGGGGCCTCCCGCAGCTGCCCCGCGCCCCCGTCTACACCCTGGGCGGGTCCTGGATTCAACTCCACACGTAGCGACGTGGGTGATATTTAACGGGCATCGTGCCCAGCGCTGACCCCGGGGCTGTCTGCCCTCCCAAGGCTGTGATTCTTGGCCCCAACACCCTTAACGCAGATGTCACACCGACACCGGCCAGAGGCCACACAGGCAGCTAGAGAAAAGGGATAAGAACAGCCGCTCCTTCCCGCGGTGACTTAATAGCACAAGTCCACTTTAAAAGGGAAAAGGCCTGGCCAAAAACAAAGTCTTCAAAACCCCTAAAAAAGAGACACAAGAGTCCCTAAAACTGAAGTGTTGTAAACGCTCATAGTGTTGCTCAAAGTGTTAAGTAAAAACACTGCTTTTAAAAATACCTTAAGAAAAAGGATACAAACTTCAAGGTGCTTTCGTGTCGCGGGCCGTGGGGTCTCCCCGCTCGGCCTGTAGTGCTTTGGGGGCCCGTGTGGCAGAGGGGTGGTACCGACCCACCACGCCGATCGGGCTGCAGTGTAACAGACTGAAATGTGACGGGCGGTGCCCCCGGGGGGCCCTCTCATTCCAGAGGGGTCACGGCGCCCAGCAGCTACCAGCTGGCCTGCTCCCCTCCACCAGCCCTGGCTGGGGATGCCCGTGGGGTGGCGAGGGGCAAGGCCGCCCCTCCCTTTTGGGCTCCTCAAACATGCTGTCGGGGGGTCCTGCCCACAGGAGGCTGGAGAACCGTGTCCCTACAATGTCCCCGCTCCCTGCCCTGCTGGCTCCCCGGAATCGAGCCTCCCTCCCGGGCTCTGGAGGGGCCGCGCCCCGGAGGCCTAGTCGTGGCGCACGGCTGTCCCCGCAGGCCTGGTGGGAGCAGGGGGGCGGGGGGGCTGCTCGCCCCACCCCCGCACGCGGGCCAGGTGGCTGCAGCTGCGCTGGCCTCTGATGTTCAGCTCCAGGAGGCCCTTGGTGGGCTGCTTGTCCACCCCCCCCCGGGGGCATGCCGTGGCTCAGCAGTCAGCCCACGAGGTCCTTGCGCGTGGGGTCGGGCCCCAGCGTGAGCCTGGCGCGGCCCAGCTGATTGTGGCCCCAGAGCAGGCCGACGTCGGCGACGGCCTGGGTCTTCATCACCACCTCCAGCACGGTCATGCCCTTGACCACCAGGCTGCCCAGCGAGAGCCGCAGCTCGGAGGGCGTGGCCGTGAGCAGGCGTCACTGCAGGCCCTGCCTCAAGGGCATGGCCTCGGGCGCCTGCTCCAGCCCGGGGGCGAGGGTGGCGCGCGGTAGATCAATCCACCACGCCCAGCTCGCGCACCAGCTGGATGCCCTCTTCCATGGTGGTCCAGGGCAGGAAGGGCAGCTTGGTGGCCTCGAAGAACTGGAAGGACTCCCAGCGCCGGTGCCAGGCCTGCAGCAGCCAGGCGAGCAGCGTCTTGCAGCCGCCGGGCAGCCCCTTGCAGTGGTAGTTGAAGACGGCATCACTGGTCAGGTCGCCCAGCAGCACCAGCTCCCCGGAACTCAGGGACAGGGCTGAGGCCCCCTGGTCATACACCCGCAGGACCCAGGTGATCATGAGCTCGTTGGGGTTCTGCTTGAAGCGCCGCAAGATAGCCAGCTTGGTGTACGTGTAGTAGCGCTCCCCCCGCGCCCCCTGGGCAGGCGCCAGCACTCTCTTGCCCGTGGCCACGGGTGCCCCAGGTGGGAATGGCAGGGGAGCCCGCAGGGGGCTGCCATGGGAGCTGCGGGAAGGACACAGAGGGACATCAGGCAGGGAAATAGCCACACCTCCCCCCCCTGGCACCTCGCCAGAGCGGGGCCCCCCAGACCCCTGGGTGTCAAAGGTCCCGGGGGGCACCGTGTCCTCACAGGCGGTCAGAGCCCAGTGCTGGACATCACGGGGGCCCCACGTGCAGCCTGTCCAGTATCCCTGACACAGGATGTTGGCTGCACCCCCACCCCGAGACTAAATGAATTGAGTGCTTACAACAGCACCTGGCTGAGAGCAAGTGCTGAGTCCCTACCTTTATATCATTGCCATGATCTATAGGTTATTCACTATAAACTTATAATAAATTTAATGACTGTCATGGTATTAATAAGTGGGAGCCTCTTCTGTTCTTACCGAGGGATGGCGGGCCTGTTCTAGTCCTGGAGGAACCACCTGCAGACAGGAAGGGTGGGGAGGGAAGAGGAGTTGGGTGGGGTGCAGGGCATCCACAGCCCCCCATCCCTCCCTCCTTCCCCAGAGCTGGGCCCCTCAGAACCCCGGGTGTCAAAGGTCCCGGGGGGCACCGTGTCCTCACAGGCGATCAGAGCCCAGTGCTGGACATCATGGGGGCCCCAAGCGCAGCCTGTTCAGGATCCCTGATGGAGCACATCTCACTGCAACCCTCCCGGCCCCCCGCTTCTAATCCCAGCCCTTCCTGCACCCCTCATGCCCCCAGTCTCTGCACGGGGGATGCCACATCATTGAGGGCATGGCAGCGTCGGGGGTTGCAGAGGCTGGTGTTAACATGCCGCCTCTGCCACCGCTGGACGACTCTGCTCCCAGCCCAGGTGCCACCGCAAGCCCTCCCGCGGCCAGGGGGGGGCGTGCCCACAGTGCACACGCCAGGGGCGGGGGGGCCTCCATTGCAGCCAGAGGCATGCCCACAAGTCATGGAGGTCCCTGAGGTCTTAAGTGGCAGAACCGGGGATCAAAACCAGCCTCCTTGGTTCCGTATCCTCAACTGTGGGAAGAGGGGCAACAGAGAAAGGCCCCTCACCCTGCAGCACGCGAATGTGCGCGGGGCTGCACAAATCAGACCTCCCTCTCTCAAAAAGAAGACGAGCGTGGGCAAACCCTAACCTCTCCTGCCTCCACCTCCTCAGCTGCAAACAGGGACGAGACGGCACCCATTTCAAATCATCAGGTGACTGGGAAGATGAAGCGAATCGAGGGCTCACAACCACGCCTGGCTCAGCAAATGCTCGGCATTTGTCTGTATTAAACTAACATTACCATCATCTATAAATTTTATTAAGAATAAATTATAATATTATGAACTTAATGTGACTATTATGGTACTAATAAGAGGAAGCCTCTTCTGTTCTTACCAAGACGGATGGTGGGGCTGTTCCAGGCCTGGAGGAACCACCTGCAGACAGGAAGAGTGGGGTGGGGGGGGTAGGAGGTGGGTGGGGTGCAGGGCATCCACGGCCCCCCATTCCTCCCTCCCCAGAGCAGGGCCCCTCAGACCCCCAGGTGTCAAAGGTCCCGGGGGGGCACCGTGTCCTCACAGGCGATCAGAGCCCAGTGCTGGACATCATGGGGGCCCCGATGCCCTTGGCCCCCTCCTCACTCAGGTCCCAGAGTCACTTGCCCGCTGTCCTAAGGGGACGACACAGACAAGAGCTCAGAGATCCAGGCAGGACAAATGGCCAGTATCCATCTGGTCCCTGGGGGGCCGACAGGCAAGCCCCCATGGCTCACCTTCTCACACCACACCCAACCCCCCCAGCTCCCCTAGCCCACCCCTCACTGCCCAGCTCCTCCCAGAGAGTCACTTCTTGTATGATCTGCAGCAACTGACCCCAAGTAACCCCCTCTCCCCCGCCAGGCTGTTTCCTCATCCGGAAAATGGAAGAGATCCGCCAGGCAGACAGGCTGAGGGCAGAATCCAGTGAGATGAAGCTGGCCTCCCCTTCGGCTCAGCTTCTTGGCGTGCCCTAATGAAAAACCCCTGCACGTGCTCTGCCCACACCTCAGGTCCGCTTCCCCCACCCAAAGCCTCCAGTCCTGCCGAGGTCTTGACAAACTGGCCAGGCGGGAGTCCTCCATCACTACAGCCACGCGCCACATAAGGACGTTTGGTCAACAATGGACCCCGTATACAATGGTGGTCCCATGAGATGAGCAGCATAGAGCCTGGGTGTGCAGGAGGCTCTAGCATCTAGGTTTGTGCAAGTGCACGCTATGATGTTCACACAACGATGACATCACCTAACAAGCATTTCTCAGAACATATCCCCGTCGTTAAGCGACGTGTGGCTGTACTCCCTTGCTCTGTAATTTGGGGAGGTGACTGAGAAACAGGGAAAGGTCATGCCTCTCACTGGGACCCCAGAGGATTCAGAGTTAACCGTCAAGTACTTAAACACGGCAAGTTCTGAGCTACTATTTAGCAAGCGCAGACCCCTAAGTCTAGTTTTGTGTAGAAATGTGCTGTCCAAAAGTTGCAGTCGCTACTTAAATTTACATACGATTTAAAATTCTGGTTCCCAGTTGTACTAGCTATATTTCAGGTACTCGAGAGTCACATGTGGCTACCGGATTGGACAACGCAGAAGAGAACATTCCCATCCTGACAGTTCTGTCGGCCAGCGCCACCTGGGAAATCGACAGATGTGACATGTTCCTCAGGTCTTCCCTATCCTGAAGTCAACTTTCTTTCCTTTTTTCGCCCCCCTCACATATCACTGCCCAAGTGGCACCTTCCCTACTCCCCACTTCCCCATAAATTTCCTCTCAGCCCGCAACGAACGTTCAGAGCTCTGCAGAGGAGCCCTCGGACGAAGGGCATGACCCCTTAGAAAGACACTCAGAAGACCCGAAATCTGAGCTCACCCTTCAGACAGCAGCTTCTCATCCCTAAATGCTCATCAGCAAGAGTCGAAACCCCCCAAGAACCCCAGAGAACACACCTTCAGTCCTATTTCCCCACAGCCACTGGTCTTCCGGCTCCTGACATCAAAAGGACCCAGAAAATTCCCCCTAGAGATGAGAACTCTTGTTTCTTTTTGAAGAACACAGACTTCTGCCCATTTTATGATTCAGCACTTTGAAACACTTGTGAAACATTCTCCAGATAATTTGTAACAATTTAACAATGGCTGTTGTGTAAATTAAGGGCAGCTTTAATAACTGTATCAGTTTATAAATACATGATTTCTGGGAAGCTAAGCTTTGCTGAAAGGTACTTGTATTCAGTCTACAAAACCCAATGATGCTGCAGAAGCCTTTCTGTTTCTTTTCTTCTGCTGAGTTTGCAAATTAGATTTCTGATTAGTCCTCCTCCTTGAAGCCCAAATATATGTGTATTTTTTCCGTCCACAGCCCACATATTCTCTTATTCACCCTTCCCTTCGAAGGCAGGAAACATTACTGTCCACCACCCACCGTGCAGACGCCTCGGGCCTATCCACCCCTGATGTGTTGTACCCATTCTACAGACACAGAAACTGAGGCTTAGGATAGCAACCGCCTGACTAATATCTTTGGGATTTGGCGTAAACCCCCAGCACGATGACTGGCACATCAGTTAGGTCCCAGAGATACCAGGTGTGAAGTCACCCAAAGTGAGGGTGAGATATTTTGGATCTGGGTGCATCAGGGGATGGGAGCAAGGGTTCTTACCAAGATGGGTTGGTGGTGGGTGGCCCCTCAGCTTGAAGACACACCTGTTAACATAGGAAGGACTTGAGGGTGCGGGAGAAAAGGTTTGGGGGTTCACAGAACATCAAAACCAGGGCTCCTCAGACCCCCAGGTGTCAAAGGTCCTGGGGGGCACTGTGTCCTCAGGGGTGATCGGAGCCCAGTGCTGGACATCATGGGAGCCCTGGTCCCTCTGCCATCAGGTCCCAAGGCCACTCACCTTCAGGGACAGAGACCAAACTAACAGAGGCGAGAGACTGGGAAACACAAAATCCATCAGGAGGGTATGAAGGCCCATAGCTCTCCCTATGGACACAGCAGGATGCTCCCACCTCCCCAGTGTCCCAGGCCCACAGGGAACTGTCCTCAAAGCCACTACATGGAGAGAACCTGGTATCTACCAACCCTCACCTAGTTTTGCACATTCTCAGCATTGGCTATACCTGCTAAGAATCCTACACAGTGAAAACTTCGACAATGCAAATCCCTTGGAAGAGCCTGTTGGGAGGAATACGGAGGAGGGGCTCTTCTAGGAAAAAAGAAACCTAAGATATAAGCAACACAAACAACGACCAGAGACCCTTCACTGCAACCATTTGTGAACAAATCAGCAGTGAGAGACATTTCAGGCACGACTTAGCAACTATGAACACAAAGCAGACAGGAGATGGCATCGCCAAGCCATTAGTCTCATTAAAGGAACAACAGCATAGCCATTAAGTAGAAAACCTTTATTTTAGAGACACAACTGTTAACTATTTTGGATGAAATAAACTTACTTTCAAAACACTAAGCACAACAAAACCAAGCAGGGCGAAACGTTACAACTCTGAAACTTATATCTATTTCCTTGTATGAAGATTTTAATAATAAAAAGTAAAAAAAAAAAAAAAGGAAGGAAAGAGGAATATATCAGACAATGGTGAAAGAGGGCATAACGATGAAAAGTGGAGAAAAATCGTTCCACTTGTGACATGGCGATAGCTAGGGTAAAGTCAGTTTTCTAGGTGGCTGCATGAAAAGAGGAACACAGCCAGAGGAAATTCTTGCTGGGTCGAGATGGGGAGACAGAAAACCAGCGAGCTGCCCCGGACTGGGCCTCCCTGGCAGGGGCGTGGCCTTGCCCGGCCGTCAGGAAACTGATAGCCAAGACCTTAAGGACCAATCAATCAGCCCAGAACGAACCTTTAACAAAACTGTGATGTTTGGAGTGACCGCAAAACTCTGATATTTGGAGACATCATGTCAGAATGATTCCTGAAGGTGAAATAAGCCCCCGTTTGCTTTCTCCTAAGACCACTCCTATCTGGCTCACAGACACAACCCAGTCATTCACTTAGAGACCCCCCCTCCCATTTCTTCCTTAGTCACCCCCCGAGATCCTGCCTCTATCTCCCCCATGGGACTTGTTCTAGCTTGCACAAAACTGTCAGCCGCCTGAAATCGGAAAAAAAAAGAGCGATTTCCTAAGGGAAGCACGTGTGGCTAGCACGTGGGTGGAAAACCTCAGAAAGAAACTCAATGTCACAAGCCCCCACCTGCCTGGCCCCCAAGGAAAGATGGCCAAGATGGCGGAGACGTGCAGCGTGGGCCGCAGAAATGGCGCAGCCGGGCCTCGGTGCAGACAAAGGAGGGCTGGCCCCGGCGGCCCCCGTCTGCTCCGGCGGCAGGAGTCCCCCCGAGCCTCCGCGGACGCCACCGCCCGCCCCGCAGGGGGCCCCCGGGCTCGCCTCGGAGCGCGCGCGCCGGGTCCTTTCAAAGGCCCTGACCCCGACCACGCGGCGACGTGGCCGCCTCGCCGCTGCCCCGGGCACTTCCCGACCCGCGCCGCCCAGATCCCAAATCCCCGCCACAGAGACTAACAGGAACCGAAGCGCACAGCAAACTCACCAAACCCTCACTCTCTCCACAGCGTGCGCGGCTGGCCCGGCGTCCCACTTTATAGTGCGCGCCGCGCGCAAGGCCCGCCCCCCGGCGCCCGTTCGGGCTCCGCCCCGAGGCGTCCAGCACATTCGCCGGTGTCGGAAACCCTGGTTTGGTGCTTGGGGAAGGGAAGAATGCCTGTTCCCGCTAGAGTCTTCCTGATCAGGCGATGAGATGGAGGGGGAAAAAAAGAAGCAAGGAAAGATCGGGGCCCGTTGTCCTGTTATGGGTGTCAGGCAATTCTGCGGATGGCACCCAGGGCGGGTCGGGAGGGGGAAGGACCCCAAGTGTGGGCGGGGCCAGAAAGGGATGCCCCTGGAATTGCCAGCGCGGCAGTGCGCGAGCCGAGGCTGCGGGGGCGGGGCCGACTCAGACGAGGCCCCAACGGCCGCGTGGGAGGCGGGGCCAGTGCGCGGATTGACAGGGGCGCGTGTCTGGGACAGCGCCCACGCGGTGCAGAATTAGAGGCCGAGCCTGCCCGGTGAGAGGAGGGGTCCGAGCCTGGTGGCAGCGGGCGAAGGTTGAACTCCGGGTCTGAGGGAGGAGGGGGCCGGGGGACAGGACTCCTGGGCCTAAGGGAGGACTGGATTTGGGGCTCACCCCGGGTTTAGATAGTGTAAGACCTGGGGGCTTGGATTCTTGTTGGGATTGGAGATCTAACGAGTGTGTTTCAACTGACATGACTGTAAAAATTTTTTTCAAAGATAAAAAATGAAACTTCTCTACTCCAGACCCAGTCACCAGAGTCGCCAGTGTCAACAATTTGGTGTGGACTTTTTACTGTATGGCTACACACACACGCACACACAAATACACACACAGTTACCGGCCAAGATGCTTTTTTTCACTCCAATTTGCCCCAAAAGTAGTCTCCCCGCATCAGTACATAGAGTGACCTCATTCCTTAAACGGTGGCAAAGTATTCCCTTGTGTGATGAGAACACACTTTGTTTAGCTGGTCCCCCTGGTCCTTTGGGTGTTTGTCTTCCTTCCAGTGGGGAGACTCCTCTCCTGAAGCCTGTGCTCTGAATTAAAAGGAAGAGACCCAAACTCCTCTCTTAAGAAAGGAAGAGACATGTCTTTCCGTGGCCCCTGCCTCACTCAGAGTAAAGCAGAGTCCTCTCGGTGGCCCACAAGACCCAGAGTGACCCGGCCCCTGTTCTGCTCTGTCCCTCACTCAGGCCACACTACCACGCTGGCCTCCCTGGTCACCTGCAACCTGCCAAGGACATTTGTACCTGAGGCCCTTTGTATTTGCTGTTCCCTCTGCCTGGAACTCTTCCCCCCAGTCTATCCCCATGGCTCTCTTCCTCTCTTCAGTCGTGTCGCTGCTCAGATGTCACCTTAGCGTAGAGCCCCCGACCCCTTCGCTCTGTATAACACAGCCCCTCCTTCCCAGACTGGTTGTCTCTACCCCCCTATATGTTTCTTCATTGTGTTTATCTCCTAACATATCTGTTTGTGGGTATATTTTTCTGCCTCCCTGTTAAAATGTCCATTCCATAAAGACAAGGTTTTGTGTCTAGTGTGATCCCTGCTATGGATCCAGTGTCTGGCACGCAGTTGCAGCTCAAGTTTTGTTGAAAATGAACACATTTGAGAGCCTTTTGTGGGAGAGAAGAGGAAGGATTATTGTAGCAGTACGTAAAGAGCGCGTACTCTGGACCACGCATGTGTTCAACTGTATCTAGGTGGAAGTACTCTCATTATCTATCCTTGTTTCACAGATGAGGAAACAGACCCAGATGGGTTCAACACCTTGCCACAGGTCACAGAGCTAGTATGTGGCCAAGCCCACACTCAAAATATGGCAGCTTAACCACCATGTGAGAGGGAGATAGATGGGACCCCCAGGTCGGGGCCCTGCAGGGGGACCCAGGCAATGAGATAACTTTGTATTGAGTTTCAACCCTGCCCTGTTCAGTAAATGACTCTGTTACCCCAAACCATCTGCTGCATACAACAGCCTTGTGAAAAAAGAAATGAGGAAAGAAAGGAGGAAGGAAGAAAGAAAGAGAATTAGGGAAGGAATGGGACCCTATAGAAAATAAATAAATAAGTAAAAAATTTTTACAAAGGAATAGGGCCGGCCCTGTGGCTTAGCGGTTAAGTGCGCGCTGCTCCGCTATTGGCGGCCCGGGTTGAGATCCCGGGCGCCACCGACGCACCACTTGTCCGGCCATGCTGAGGCCGTGTCCCACATACAGCAACTAGAAGGATGTGCAACTATGATGTAAAACCATCTACTGGGGCTTTGGGGAGAAAAAGAGGAGGGTTGGCAATAGATGTTAGCTCAGAGCCAGTCTTCCTCAGCAAAAAGAGGAGGATTAGCATGGATGTTAGCTCAGGGCTGATCTTCCTCACTGAAAAAAAAAAAAAAAGGAATAGCGTTGTGTTGGGGGATTTGGGGATAAGAAAAGGAGGTAGTGGCAGAAACTGCTGGTGAGGGCAGGAGGTGAAGTGTGGGTGTGGGGAGAATTCATCTCAGGAGGGGCAAATGATTGGGGTCACAAAAAATGAAAGTATGAAAAAGTGCAAAAGTAAAGGATGAAGCCCAAAGAACTTGGGGAGAATCAGCTATTCAACAAACATTGATTGAGCACCGTCTGTATGCCAGCAACCATTGGCCCAGCCTCTTTGCTGATTTTGTGTCTTGCATCTCTTTCCCCTGAGTCCCTTCCCTTGCCTATCCCTCTAGCCTAGAGGGCCCAATGGATGACCCCAGGGAGGGATGGCATTTCCAAAGTACTGAGCTAAAAGAATATTCTGGGCGAAAAATACAGATTATTTAAAAATACAGATTATTAATCTGAGTTGGAGGGGATTCGGAAGGGACTTAAAAAGAGTCTTGTCCTTTCTCAAGTCCTGTCAGGTGCTGGTCAGGGAGCCGTGGGAGGAGGCCAGAGGTGGGGTCATTCTCATGTCCTGAGTCCAGATGGCCTGGAGCGCCAGGATGGACCAGAAATTCACATAGTTGAGATAGGAAAAGAAACCTGGGGGGAGGAAGAGAGCAGAGGGCGTGAGATGCAGAGTTCACCAGCCCAACCCTGATCCCAGTCCTCTCCCCAAACCCAACCACGCCCCCTACCCTGTCCCCAAACCCATCCATAAACCCAAACTCAACCCTATCCCCTACACTGTCCCCAACCCGTTTCCAAACCCAACCCCATCTTATCCTCTACCCTGTCCCCAAACACATCCCTAAACCCAAACTCTACCCTATCCCCTACACTGTCCCCAACCCATTTCCAAACCCAACCCCACCTCATCCTCTACCCTGTCCCCAAACCCATCCCTAAACTTGAACCCAACCCCTCAAGCCCCATCTTCAAACCCAAACCCATCCCCTACACTGTCCCCAAACCCGACACCATTCCCTACACTGTCCCCAACCCATCTCCCAACCCAACCCCATCCCTACATCCAACCCTGTGCCCAGCCCATCTCCCACCTCAATCCCGTCCTACTTAGCCCTGTCCACAACCCCACCCACACTCCAAACTCTGTCCCACCAAGTCTCCATCTGCATCCTGAACCCATGCCCAAACCCAGCCCCACCCCAGCCCAGACCAGTCATCAGGAAGAAGAAGACGCCGGTCCACGCCAGGTAGAAGCTGCGCCCCAGCCTGTAGGTCATGCCTTCCTGCAGGTACCCATGGGCCTGCACGAGGTAGAACACGACACCCAATATCATGCTGATCCCTGCATGAGTACAGGTGTTAGGAGGCGGGGCACCAGGTATGTAAGGACCCCTGCTCATAGTTGTGTGGCCACCTGTCTCTTGCTCATTATTTTCCCACTTTCTTTTGCTTCCTTGTACCTCTGCTCAGAAGCAGGAAAATGGGCTCTTGACAATGTCATGGTGGAGGACGTTGGAAGAGCAAGACTTGGTCTTTCACCAGGCAATGGTGGTGTCTGAAACCACAGGCTTTGGGGCCAACAGACCGAAGCTCTTGTCCTACCTCTGCTTCTCACCTTAGGGCAGCCACTCCATCTCTCTGTGAGCCTCATTTCCCTCATCTGTAAGGTGGGCATAATCATAGGACCCATCTCCTTGGGCTGTGATGAGGAGTTATTGGGATCGTCACATATCCTGGTACACAGTGAGCCCTCAAGGATTGAGATTGACTATCATCATTATATTGGGTCTTTAATTTTGGGCTTCTGAAGCAGCGGACAAGGAACTCAGTCATTTTTGATATTTTAACTTTATTTCAAAATGACATGAATTAAGGATACTTTGTGAAAAGGAAACGGCTTTTTTTTTTTTTTCTTCAGGTAGTGGAGTCCTGGGTAATTTTTTCTTTATGTTACAGAAAAATAATATTGGAAGTGTTTTGCGTTTCCTTAAAAGGGGGAATGGACAAAAATGATTTTCTTATAGAAAAATGTCCTATTTTAGATGGTGTAAAACTGAGACGTTTTCTACCCTTTGTACCTTATATCTAAATGATCGGGAAGAGCCGCTAGACAACCTGGATAAATACAATTTACTAAAAAGGAAACAGGAAGTAGAGTGTTCTCTATTCTTGGCCTTGCTGCCACCCTCCAAGAATGTTCTTTTGATGAAACTGGGAGTTATGGTCAATTACTACAAGAGGTGGGAACACAATATCCTTCATTTCCAAATTAAAGTCCACCTCCTTTTCTAATAAACGTATGATTTGGCATGCAAATGGAAAGGTAAATTATTCTAATCACAATATCAATTTTCTTTTTCTTTTTTGCTGAGGAAGATTCTCCCTGAGCTAACATCTGTGCCAATCTTCCTCCGTTTTGTATGTGGGTCGCCGTCACAGCATGGCTGCTGCCAAGTGGTGTAGGTCCATGCCTGGGAACCGAACTGGGGCCACTGAAGCAGAGCATGCCGAACTTAACCACTAGGCTATGGAGCCAGTGTCACAATATGAATTTTGAGTTATTTGCATAGGGGCAGGAGGATTATCATGATAAGGATTTGTGCAAAGTTAAATAGCTACCATCAAGTACCAACATTTTCTAATTCAATCCTCATTACATCTCCACGTGGTAGGAAATTTTATCCCCACCCTACAGATGAGAAAACTGTGACTCAGAAAGATTAAGTAGCTTGAACAAAATCACAGAGCTGGTGGTGGTGGGGAGACAGGATTTGGGATGGGCTTGGAATTGGAAATGGGGTTGGGTATTGGGTAGAGGTTGAAGTTTGAGTGATAAGGTTGGAGACCGAGGCTGATGTTGGGGATGGGGATCAATTGTAGTCAGGATGAAGATGGATTGGAGATTGGTAAGAGGATGGAGTTGACAATGGGTTAGGTTGAGTTTGAAGTTGAGGTTCACAGGAGATAGAGTTGGGTTGGATTGGGAATGAGTGTTGAGGAGGGTTAGGCATGGAGTTGAGTTGGGTGTTGAGATTTGTAAAGGGGTTGGAGATGGTATGGGGATGGTTTGGAGATTGGAAAGAAGATAGAATTGGAATGGAGGTAGGGATGGGGATGGACATCACAGAAGGGGATATGAATGAACTTGAGATTTGTTGGTGATCGAGGTGGGAGGTGAAGTAGAGGCTTGTCTTGGGGCTGCAGATGGGGTTGGGTTGGAAGTTGGTATTTTTATTGGGATGGGTTGGAAAGCTGGACGGAGATAAGACTGGGATTGGGGATGAAGGTGAGGATGGGGATGGGACTGGAGTGCGGTTGAGTATCATGATAGGCACTGGGTGAGGTACTCCTCGCCTGGGGTCCTGAGGGAAGATTTCAGTGCCATGCCTGTCAGGATGCTGAGGATGGTGTTGGAGAAGTCCAGCACTAGCACGTTGGAGCTGGTGAAGAAGTTGATGTGTATGAGTATGATGCAGAGGCAGCAGCTCGCAATGCTGGCGATGACGAGGAATGCCCAGGACAAGTCCAGCAGGTCTGGGGAAGAAAGACAATCAGGGACACCAAGGCAGGCCCTCAGGCCCTGAGCATGGGGGAGAGGGTCCCCAGTGAGTCTAGGAGTATTTTCAAACCCTCTCCCTTGCAAATCCCTCATCCCCATTTTAAGAAAATTGAAATTGGGCTCTAGGGAAGGGATATTCAAGCAGATGCCTTCAGCATTGAGGATACACCTCTGGGTCAGTGAGAACAGGTTCTCAGGCAGTAAGAAGTGGGGTGGGAGTTGAGGAACCAGCTTGATGTGCTGAGGACAGATTCCCTGGGGTGAAAAAGTCTCAGAATAGTGTGTAAGGCCCTAGAGTTATGAGCACTGTGAGGATGGGTATCATGTAGATGAGGAGGGGCATAGGACAGTGAGGACCGTCCTGGGGAAGGGAGGACAATCTAGAGGGAGTGAGGACCATCGCAGAGAAGGGAGGACTAACCCGGGGCAGCAAGGACCATCTCAGGGAAGGCTGAAAGGTGTCCCTGAGACAAAGAGGGAAGATGAGTCCCAGGAGTGGTGAGTATAGGGCAGGCCTTACAAGCATTCTGGTCGTATTCATGCAGGCAGGAGATATCAGGGCACCGCACAAAGAAGATGGTGTTGATGGGGATGGTCAGGGAGCCAGCAGGGTCCCCAGGGGGGGTCAGTGGCACCCGGAAGTGGATCCAGGGCTGGCCCAGAGAGATGAGACCGATGATCATCATGCCAACCAGGCTCAGTGCCAGGCTCAGCAGGTGGCTGATCTTCTTGGCCTCATGCAGCAGCCACCAGCCTATGGGCAGCAGTGAATGGCTGCGTCTACGCCTGTTCTGACACCTGCAGCAGATCGCCCACCACCAGTGTCAGCACTGAGTCCAGACACCCAGCCCAGCTACCCCAGGTCCAGCTGCCAGACACTGTCCCACCCAGTCTAGCCTTCAGACTCTATTTTCTCTACATCCCTCCTCCATCCCTGTATGCCCCAGGTCCTGCCTCTAGGACATGCTCACCCAGGTTCAGCCTCCAGGCTCCCTTGCCTCCAGATCTAGCTTCCAGACCCTGCCATCCCCAAATTCAGTCTCTAGGTTGAATCACATGTCCAGCCTCTATGCCATGCCCCACCCAGGGCCAGCCTTCAGGTCCAGCTTCCAAGCCCTGCCACACCTAGGTCCAACCTCCAGTCTCTGACATACCGGCCATGATTCTGGTCTCTGACCTTTGACTGCTGCCCTTCCCCAGAACTCTAGCCCCGAGCCTGGCCTGCTGCCTGGACCCCTTCCTCTCACCCGCCAGAATTGACCTCAACGAAGTTGCCTGACGGTGAGCTGAGGATGTTGCTGTCTAGAGTACTTTGGTTGAATTGGGAGCTGTCCGTAGAGGCTTTGGAAGTCTCCTGGGAGGTCCAGATGATGGATTCCACGCTTTTGATACTGGCCTCAGGGCTGTGAGTAAGTGAAGGGGGGACATCAACTTTGGCCCGGGTTGTTGGCCAACTCCCAGTTCTTGGTGGGTGGTCTCGGTTACTGACTTGACTACTGTAGTTAGTTGACTCTGTCTTGCTCAGCATGGTCTGGGTAGTTAATGGAGAGCTCTGGACACTGAAGTGGCGAGTTTGGAAAACTGATGGAACATCTCGGGTATTGGCCCAGCGACTGTAGGTAACTGACGGTGTGTCTTGGATACTGACCTGGCGACTGTTGATAATGGATGGTGTGTCTTGGATACTGACCTGGCGACTGTTGATAATGGATGATGTGTCTTGGATACTGACCTGGCGACTGTGGGTAATGGATGGTGTGTCTTGGATACTGACCCGGCGACTGTTGATAATGGATGGTGTGTCTTGGATACTGACCCGGCGACTGT